CTTCCCTGAGTGCTCAATCCTGGTCGGAGACGCTGCCAGGGTTCACGCCACAGGCGCGACCCAATGCTCGAAACCAGCCCATGAATCTCTTCTCGGACTTTTCTTGCCGGTCGACCACCCTATCAAGGCGTGTGCCCATGTCAGCGACTGAAGTCCGCAACCCAGTCATCTCCCGCTCCAAGGCGGACAATCGAGTGCTACGGCGGGGCGGTGAAGGACCTTCCCCGTCACCCGTAACATCTGCCTCTCCAGCTGCATCATCATCATCAGACTCATCAGACGAGTCTACCCGGCGTGCTACCACAGGTTCCCGTCCTTTCGTGCTAATTTTGCTCGCTCTAAAGGGGGCCTTTAGCTTCAATTTCCCATCAACTCGGGGGTCCTCGTTGACTTTAGCCAGGCGACACAGCTTTGTGATCAGTGACGAAAAGTAGAGACCTTTGCCCAGGTCCGGTGATTTGGTGAACATCTCCTCCAATATAACACGGGCAGCGTCAAACCCCTGGTGGGTCATGAAATAGAAGATCATAGCACCCCGCGCAATATTAACATCTGTCGTATTCCCTGAAGGCAGCAACCTCGTGTTGATAACAGTGAGCCAACACTTGGCCTCCCAGTTTAGCGATTTTGAGTGCAGGACCGATGAATGTGACTTCCATTGAGGTAGTTTGCCAGCTATACCAATGACCGGCAGAAAGGTGTCCCAAGCAGTTGCGGAGTAACAAGCCACTTGATAGTGGTCTGTGCCAGTGAATTCCGGGAGACGATACACCCTGCGGATTAGCTCTTTTGAAGCAGTCACTGCAGTATTGCGCACCGTGACAACATTCTGCTTATGCTCTGGTAGGTTGGCATAAAATTCTCGTACAAGCAGAATATTGGCCTCCTCGGGCTTGTCAAAGAACACATCCAATCTACACCGTCGAATCTCCTCAAACATGGAGGGGCACTCCTCCCTCAACATCTATTGATCAATATGCACCTCATGCACCAAGTTACGAATCAGTTTAGCATTATATCGGACCTCAGTAGTTTTGGAGACAAACAGGGAACTGTCGAAGTCGTCCGCATTAGGCCGGGCCCTGGCTCTTGAGGACCCTGTGTTTTGACGCTTGCGGGAGGTGCTAATTGTACCTGCAATAGAGGGAAATACGGATTAGTGCACGTCTCAAATGGTGACTATGGGCGGTTACTCAGACTTCACCACCCACGTCACAACAACTCTACATAGTTCCCCTCTTTGAGGCATTTTTACAAACACTTTGTGAGCCACAATTAAGTGCTCGAATTCATGATTCAATTGGCGCGCTACAACAGCCCCATTACAACGATTCACAAGCTCACACACCCCACACTAGTACAATAACATCATCCTCCATAACACCCATTAATTAATTGAGAAAACAGCCCCTTAACCAACCAAAATCAAGTTATGTCAACTAAGAACTAAAAAAAGAAAATCATCTAAGTACATACAAGATTATAGCACTACAATACTCTAACTAAACATATTAACATAAAATACAACATGAATTGACAGAAAATAGAAGGGGGGGTGTAGAAATCAAACCTTGTAGAAAAGGATAAAAATCTTGTTAATGGAAGGGAGGGGAGAATATAGGATGGGGGAAAGTATTTGGGAGTTTAGAGAAGTGATTTGATATTGGGGGATGGAAGATTGGGTGTGTTTGGGAGGTTGGGGGAAGGGTTTGTGTTTTTGAGTTAAGGAAGAAGAGAGAAAATAGAAGTGAGGAAGAAGAAGAGAAAAGGAGAGGATGGGCGGATACGGGGGTTTGGGCTGGGGAAAAGGGACGGGGGGAG